ATTTTATATATATGTGTGATAACATCTATAACACTAATGATAGTACATTTGTATGGAAAATAGCTGTGAATGATCATGATAATTGTAATAAAAGGTATAGAACAGTCTTTCTATATCTCACAGCAGACAATTAGATAATTGATACATTATTTGGGGCTACAACATGTTGCTGTAGTTAATGTACTTACTGCACTTTATTACAAAGGTCCAGAGTGGATACATGGAATTACACTGCTGGGTGCTTGGTGGGCTCTTGTCATAATGTAAAAGTATGTACAGTTGCACATTACATCTTTTGCAGACAAGTTTGAAAAAAATCCTTCTGTATGTTTGTTATGTATTCCAATTCACATCTAAAAATAATGAGGAAAAAAAAACATTTCTTACCTTTTAGATGTCTCCATGTTAGAGGCCTTTGCAAGTTTCTCAATTTCCAAGTGACAGGAAACGCTTTCTGTTTCCATAGAAGTACCAGGGACAGACTGAGCTTCCTCTCATTAACATGCATAGATCTTGAACACTTTGTTAGGACGGTGTTAAAACCATCATAATCATATAGGGAAATATGTATGTACGTAAACCTAAATGTTGATTGATTTTCTATAGTTTAATTTATCCAAGTTTGGAAATGCAGTTTTAACTGTACTATTGATTACAGATGGTAATCAATGGTAATCAAATGGTAATCAATCAGTAAGCCTGTCAGACCCTAAGTATAATTAAAACAGCTGTTAGAAATGTCTTAGGCCCCATTCACACTAAGCAACATACCTTTTGAAGCGGATCCGCGCTCCGGGGTAGCGCGACTTTCGGGGCGACGTTCCAGCGACGATCCAGTAGCGCGACCTTCACCATCGGGCTGCCTTAAAAAATAGAAAAATTGTGCAATATCCGCTGAAAAAAGGGTCCTGTAGGAGAGACTTGCGACCGCGATGAGCGACGGGCGACATAGAGCTGTACATTGAGACAGCTCCATTGAAAATCATTGGCCGACGACTTCTAGCGATATCGCGCAGCAAAAATGCACGATATTGCAGCTGAAATCGCGCGGCAATCCGCTTAGTGTTAATGGGGGAAAATACATGTGTCAGGACAAAAAGTATGGAACTTCCTTATGCTAATGTGAATTACTTTTAAGGTAAATGTCTCATAGGTTATTTTAAAGTAAGAACATGGATATAAGGACGGGGGATGGTCCTTGAGGAGACAGACACACACACCCACTTTTACTCTCAGAAGATACAGAGACACCTGTTAAGGACTATTTTTTACTTACAAACTAAAGACACGTTTCTTAAGCATCTTATAGACTTATGCTATACCATATCGTGTAATCTTTTAGAACTTTGAAATTAAACACATTTTTACATTTTACGCAAGAAAGGAAGCAATTTTCTCTTTTGAACTTCTTCCACCCTATGCTACAAGAAAAAGAATATGATATAAAAATCATATTTCTACAGATGGACAGTGTTCAAATCTGACTTACAACTGATAATGAGATCTTCCAGTGCAGTACAGACAGGATTCATTATTTTAATTTTATCTTGCACAGACCCACTTGCATTCCTGGGCAAAGCTAAGTACAATGAACAACATTTCTTTCAGAGTAGAGCATGTATCGTGCAAGCGACAATTAAAAAAAAAAAGCTATGCTATGTAAATGTGAATTGTGTTACAAATATTAGACATGAAAAGGCTCCAAAAAAGGTTTGTTTCAGATCAATTATAATTTATGGGGGAAATTCGGATCTGAAATTCAATTCGGTAGATTTTTTGGAATTTGGATTGATTCAAATGTATTGTTTTGGTTCTGATTAATACAAGTTTTTTGTTTTCTCAGTTCAGATCAATACTAATTTTTAAGTTTTGGTTTGGATCGATTTAGATGTTCTTCAATTAAAAAGTTACTTAAATTATTTTTTGGTTTTTTTTGGTCTTCTGATAATCTTACACCATGGTGGTCCGTATTAATCATCTTAGTCTGTGCTGGTCATCTTTTTCTGTATTGGTCATTAGACATGTAACACGCAGAAAAGTGTCATTTTGTTTCAATTTGGAATTTCTTTTCCTTTTCTGTTGTGTCAAATGTGCAGAACCATTGGAGATCAACATAACGTAACCGAATATAACATAACATAAGCCGAGAACCTCAGACAGGGGGCAAAAACTGTCCTCGGGTCAATGCACAGGCAACTGTGGCATCCAGGGAGGATGCCGGGAGAGAGTTGCCAAAGAAGGTAGGTAGGGCCGGATTTCTCAGCAGCTTGGAAAAGTTTCAATGAATCCTAAATTATTTGCCCAGGGAGGGAGGAAGGCAGGGCAGGATTTCCCGGCAGCTTGAAATGCTTCAATAAACAAAAATATACAAACAACAAACTTGTTTCTTTTTTATGGTTTTTACATTTGTGGGAGTTTTTAAATTAATTTTATCATTTGACAAGGGGAGGGAGGGAAGTAGTGCAGCATTTATTAGCTGCTTGGAAAAGCTTTAATAAACCCAAAAATATACAAACAACAAACACATATTTTTAGTTTTTTATTGTTTTTTATTTTTGTAGAGTTTTTTTTTTTAATTAGCCCATTGAACTGCAATAAACATAAAAACAAACAAATAACAAACTTTTAATTTCTAAAAACTGATTTGTAATTTTTTCATTTTTTTTTTAGCCAGGGAGCCTCAATGAACCTAAACCAAAACTTCAGTATCCAAGCTTTGGCAATTAGATTTTTAGAAATGGCATCTGCTCCATGAGCTGAGGGTCCAGTTGTGAGCACAACTGAGGAGACAAAATATTTCCTGTAATGGAAAAGATTCACTCAGTCTGAATTGTGATTGGGGGCAAGACAGGAGCTCCTGGGGAACTTTGGACAGAGCAGGCCACACACCTCTCTTGTCCTGCCAGAATACAAAGGGATCAATGGTAGGGTTCAATGGCGGTTTGGAAAGGTAAGCCCCAACCATGTCTGGCTCTGAGTTGCATTTTATGGGGACCCCTCGTATATGTCCCACCAAGTTGTCCAGTGCCTCAACCCAAAAAGCAGCTGCTCTGGAGGACTAGTTGCTAGCGCAAGATGAGAGAGTATCGGACTGACACTCCTCAACCTCCTCTTCGTCCTTCTCCTCCTCTCCCCCATAGCGGTGTTACCATTTCTCCATGCACCCTCTCAGTTGACACTCCCGGCGGAGAGACCAGGGGCCCGCCGCGCACTGGATAACGATCCGGCGGCCGTCAACTTGCTGGGCCCCCGAGAGCCTGAGGCCCCGGGCGCCCCGCACCGCCTGCACCGGCGGTAGTTCCGCCACTGCACCTTCTCAATCAATTTATCTCTCCATGTGGTCAGGGCATTGCACGGAACAGACTTTCAGCCCTTGATCCAAGGGTCACACATGGAGGCCAGCATCAGTGCAGGGCAAGTGTTAGTCAGCTCTTACCTGCACCTCACCAGATGATCCTTAAGCCTCCTTAGCAGTACCACAACATCTGGTAGAGGGCCACCAGGCAATACTTCCTGATAGGAAAGAAAACCCTCTATTTTATTGTAGAGATGCGTGAACAGGGTTAGGACCTGAGCTATGCTGGTGATTTCTTGGCTTAGATTTTCTGTGACAGCACGGAAGGGCTTAAGGACTGCCATAAACCTGGTCAATCATGGCCCAATTCTCCCTACCTAATTGGTCCCCTATGCCAATGTAATGTTCATACGCCATGGCATGAATGGCCTTCTGCTGTTTAAGAATATGCTCCAACATAGCTAAGGTGGAGATCCACCTCATCCCCACATCTTGTTTGAGAATGTATGAAATTAATGGTAAAAGCCGCGCTGTGTGAATGAGACCACAAAGTGTCAGATATAGTAGATACTGACCTTAGAGTAATGTGATACAATGTGTAAAAAGTGCAAAACACAAAAGAAACGCATGTATATAACATGCACCTTAGTGTAAATGTAATTGCTACAAAATATCCATAATGTTGTTGATGGTCACAGGAGACTAAGTTTATTCTACATCCAATGTTTTATCTTCTATTTACTTAATGGACTATTGAAGATCCAGGATCATGGACATTTTTTAACCATTTATTATTTTCACTGGAGTGCAAGTTACACACATGCGTTTTTCTTGTCGGTATTCTTTGCACATTGCATCACATTGATTCACAGTTAATATTTAGTGCATTTGATTTTTCATTATGGATATTTTGTAGCAATTACATTTACACTAAGGTGCATGTTATATACATGCGTTCCTTTTGTGTTTTGCACTTTTTACACATTGTATCACATTACTCTAAGGTCAGTATCTACTATATCTGACACTTTGCGGTCTCATTCACACAGCGCGGCTTTTACCATTAATTTCATACGTTATATCTGACCACACAGATTTCAGCTGCTGCTTAACTTGACTAGAGTAGTGGCGCGAGGTTTCACATCATTCTCTTGTTTGAGAATGTGTTCCTTCAGGCCTGCCTTCCTCTATTCCTGCCTGAGGAGATTGCTGTCTTTCACACTATGATGGAAGTGGCTAGTAATCTTCTGACCTGACTCTAGTAGTGTGGACAGCTTTCCATATCTACTCCCCTCATCAAAAGCAGCCCTTATCACAAGATGGAGTATATGGAGTAGAGCCTTCATTATGTTGGCAGCATCATCAGTCACCACAAACCCTATCTTAGTGTCAGTGATAAGGGCGTGCGGTTAGGGAGTGCAAGTCTAAAACTGTGTAAGGGGCCCTAAAGTTTCTGATGGCAGCCTTGATTGTCACTGCAAAGCACATTCACCTATGTGAGTATGTGATAAGGTATATTGTTTAGGAGCATCTCCTTACTTCTCATATTCTTGATATCCTTTAATCTGTAATAATAGATTGTGTCAAACTCCTTAAACCATTCACTACACTCAACTGAATCTATATTTATATGACAGGTGACAGCCGACCACAGAATTTCCATCTCCCCGGTATTTGCATACACAGTGTGTGGGGTATAACATCTCCCCTGTCACTCTCTCTATATATCTCATTGTACAGGAGACGTCTTCTACTTTGTATCTGACACTCCACAAACATCAAGATGCTTTCTCACAGTTATCTGCTGGCTGTCATCTTCATTTCTATTCAGGGTGAGAGATGAGGCTCCTTCCATCATCCTCTGCACATACATCTATACATTGTACAATAAATACACATATCAGGATTGATAGGAAGATATACAGACATTTATCAATAATCAATATGTCTCTTTCCATCCTCAGGATCCTGTGGACAGATTGTGATGACTCAGGCTCCGGATTCTCTCTCTGTGTCCCCGGGACAGACAGTCATCATCACATGTACATCCAGTAGCACCTTAACTAGTGGTTATAGCCATCTAGCCTGGTACCAACAGAAAACCCAACAACCTCCAAAGCTTCTTATATATTTGGCCAGCACTCGGCAATCTGGGATCCCAGACAGGTTCAGTGGTTCAGGATCTGGGACTCAATACAAGTTAACAATTACTGGAGTGACTGAAGATGATGAAGCAGATTATTACTGTCAGCAGTATCTCTCCTACCCTCTCACACAGTGATACACAGCCGTACAAAAACCTCCTTCCTCTTTTCTAAAATAATATATGACGGCTTATATATATATGACTTTTTAATTTTTCTCTAGTCTAGTCTTGGAGCTGGAAAAGTATCTGTACTTGTACTTGAGCTTGTACCGAGTATGGTACTTGGTATTGGTGCATCCCTAATGAGAATTGTAATAAAAGGAATAGAATAGTGTTTCTATATCTCACAGCAGACAATTAGATAATTGATACATTATTTGGGGCTACAACCTGTTTCTGTAGGTAATGCACCTACTGCACTTTATTACAAAGGTCCAGAGTGGATACATCTAAATTACACTGCTGGGTGCTTGGTGGGCTCTTGTCATAATGTACAAGTATGTACTGTATACTTTACAACTGTGCCCTTCTCCATTACAGTGTGAGCTCTTTCTGTTGTAAACACAATGTCCTCTTCCGCTACTTCCAAGTTCTCAGGCATCTTCTTTGCCAATAATGATGAACCTCATGGGCACAGAGTTACATGTTCCCAGATGACAGAGCTGGGAAGGCACTCCTTGTTCTGCCACATTTCTCAGTAAACATGCTAAATGAGAATCCTGAGGAAGTGCCATTTTGGCCCTATAGACTTCAATGGAATTGCATCAAAAATGTGTACATGCATTCTAGCAGATTTTAGACTGCTTTTTTGGCATAACAGCTGGGCTCTTCCCCTGGCAAATTCTATGCCACACAATGCTGGATGTTGAAGCCTTCATTCACCTGGTCAGAGTGAGGCAATTGCTGTATGATCCCACCCTCCACCAATACAAAAATCACTTCAAACATCTGACGGCATGTGAGGAAACTGCATGTGATGTATTTGAGGGTTGGGATGTTCTACCCTCTTCATACAAAACCACATCATGTAAGCTCATGTTATTAGCATATAATGTTTATTTTATAGGCTACCATATCCCTATAAAATGACACTTCATACCGCATATTATATCAAACTGTGGACATTACCTTTCATTTGTTCAGTATCTGTTTTTATGTATTTAAAACATTCTCAGGTTGACCTACATTTTCCAATCTGCACGCATTATCTTCTGATGTAATAACTTCATATATTATCATTTGTAATAGGAATACCTTTCAATGCTTTGCTAGTGTAGTGCACCCCCTAAGGAGCCGCACAGAATAGATGGGTCCTCTGTCGTACCTCTGTGATAGACCTCTTATAATGGAACCACAGCACACCAGCACACCATGTGAGGTTTTAAATGAGCTTTACTACACAAATAGTATACTGGTTCAATAAATGTATAAAATGAAGGAACACTAGCCCCAATAGACCGGGGTCTCTAACCAACTGGCCAGTGGTATTGTCTTCGGCTAGCCAATGATGTTCATGTTAAAAGGAGCGTGCAGCGAATGCCATTGGACCTGGCATTGGAGCAGCAGAGAGAGTAAATCCAGCCCTGCGTGCAGCATTTGTCGAAATCACAGAGTCTGAGCTGCTACCATAGGATCCTATGACAATAAAGCTAAAACAATAGTTTGCATTGGCCACTGTTAATAAAACAATCAAAACAACACAAATAAAAAAAAAGTATAATCATAGTACTTGTAGGAACTTGCTATGGGCTTGACAATATATGTCTTTTCCATTAAATGATATCACAGAATTAGGGAAATTGCAGCTCTCCCAGGCCATATAGGCTATCTTGGATTATTCCTCCTTAGTTGCTTTCTTCATGACCACATCCTTCAACACACCCCATATGACTGTGTAGGTGTCCCATATAATATAGCTTGCTGTTGATTTTCCCCACCAGTGCAGACTCTGTATTATTGTACAAAGTTTTTTGGGCCCAGCGTTGAAAGCTTGCTTCTACATACTGATAATATTTTGTTTTAACAATTCATAAAAAAAATTGTTTTTTTAATGTACTGTTGTACATCTACCATATTCATGTGTACATGTATGCTAAAATGCAGCACATCCAGATATTTCATTCATACACCCTTTTAATGGGCAGAACACTATTCCTGAAGAACATACTCTGTCACTTCAACTGGTGGGAGAGTAAACCCAACAATACGTCACAACACATAAAAACCCAACAATATGACAAAGAAAAAAAGATGGCCCTGTGGTCAATTACTGCAAGAGACAATGTCACCTTACACATGTGGCATTAGATGACACAGTATCCTTGTATGTATATATATATATGCAATTAGTAAATAAAAGGTATCACTTATAGTTAAACTTTACCAGACCTTTCTAATAATGATCCTGTATAACACAATACTGCAATATGTTAGAAGATGCCGCCATCTACTGGTGGACTTTGGTATTGAGTGCTTCATCCAGTCATTTCTCTGTATCTATGTTTAATGTTGTATTTCAAAGTCTTCTTTCACCATAACTACTTGAGCACCAGCCTGTATATAACCCTTCATTACCAGGACATTTTTTCATTTTCAGGGAGGTGAAATATTCTGTCATACAAAATTGTACCTGCGGCCATTTGTAGAATTACTTCTATAGATATCTTTCCAGAAATGGACATCCACCTCTCTGCAGTTTTTCTTTACAATACAGCTTCACATATATACATTGGTATGTGTTGGCAGCACATCATGCACGTGTTAGCATATTGCAGTGATGCTACATTGCACTAAAGGAATACACCTTCAACTAGTCTGGCTACCCGCCTAGTATTTTACTGGCCGGTAGAAAATGTGACTAGTTGCCAAGATTATTAATAGTAAATGAGTCATGAGTAGTGATGGGCTGAACACCCCCGTTTTCGGTTCGTACGAACTCGAACCTAATGCAAGTCAATGGGGGTCGAACTTTTGAAAATGATTGTCCCCTTTAAGAGGGATTATATGCAAGTTATTGGCCATAAAAGGCGTATGGGAGTCCAGGTACTGCCCTGGGGGGGACAGGAATCAATGACAAAAACAAACAAACAAAAAAACATTTTTTAAATGAGTAGTGATTTTAACATCATATAAAGCACATGTGTCAAACTCAAGGCCCAGGGGCCGAATCCGTCCCACCAGGCCATTTCCTAGACTTCTACAGGGGTTGCCACCTGTCAGGGATTCACCCGGACAGTCCGGGTTTTGAATGCTGTGTCCGGGTTTCATGGCAGCTGAAACCTGGACACATGATGTCAGGCAGACAGGGCTACTGGCCCCACTGAAAATAGTCTTGACTGTGATATTTACATATTAATGGGTGGTGCTATTTACATATGAATAAGCCGCAACTCATTCTCCCCCCAAAAAATTTCTGTACGTCGCTAGAGTGTTCGGGTTTCGATGAAAGAAAAGGTGGCAACTCTAACTTCTACTTTCAGATCTAGGTATTAAGTTATTATTAAAACCAGTGATAATCCAATGCAGAGGCAATTATGATAAAGATTAGATATATCTACATAGTCTTACAGGCCCTTTGAGGGCAACCATAATGTTGATACGGCTCTCGATTAAATTGAGTTTGACACCCCTGACTTAAAGAATAAGAATAAAAATAAAAAATTACTTCAAATATCGTGTCTGGGGGGTCCCCTTAACCTGCCTGTGACGTGGCGGATCTGTACGATGAATGGAACCTGCTGCAGCAAAACTGACATTTCTAAAAAAAAAAAAAATGATTTTTGTTTTTTTTACTCTTAAAGTGTGCAGTTCCCCCTCTCAAACAATACCAGACCCTTTAAGTCTGGTAGAAATGTCAGGAGGAAACATTTAAAAAAAAATAAAAAAGCGTAGGGCTCCCCCTTCCATACCAGACCCATGATCCGAGCATAGGCCTGGCAGGGCCGGAAAAGGGGGGGGGTGCGAGCGAGTGCCCCCCACTCCCTTCCAAAACCAGGCCACATGCCCTCGGCACTGAGAAGGTGTCCCCATGCCAATGGGTAAGGGGGCCTCGTCCCCACAATCCTGACCCGGTGATTGTGGGGGTCTGCGGGCAAGGGGGCGTATTTGCATTGGGGTACCCCTTTAATTAAGGGGGCACCCATATGCTGCCCCCCTCCCTTGTGAATGAGTAAGGGGTACTTGTACCGCTACCCATTCACTAAAGAGTTACATAAAATAGTTATTAAAAACTCCAGACTTTTGATAAAATCCTTTAATTGGAAAAAAACCAAAACAAAAGACATGTTTTTGACAAGTCTTTTATTAAAAAAAACTTCCAGAAAATGGAAGTCAGGTGCAAGACTTTAACCAATTAGAGCTTCGGAGGGCTCTTTGCAGTATGGGATGTTGCGTGGTCAAACAGACCGCAAACATCCCACAAAGTTCGGCGGTCGGCGAACGGCCGATGTTCTATTCGAACCGGCTGACCGTCCGTAGTCATGGGGCCCTGTATTCCACAGAAAAGGTGGCAACCTCACCTCCAGATAACTGCAATGTATTGTGTTGGTACAGGAGAAATATTGGAAGTGTATTTTTGGTTGGTTTTGGTGTTTTGGCAGTAATCATTTGTAATGGTATATGTTCATGGTGGCAGACATATTTACTCCTATACAGGCTTTGTTCCAGCTTTGTTGTGCTACACAATGGTTGTGCTTTATTGCCTCTTATCAGTAAAGGATGGACACCGGCACTCCAAAGTAAGTTCAGTACGTGTTTATTAACGTACTAGTTGCAAGTAGAACACTCGATACAAGGTTTTGGGGTCTCCCAAGATCCCCTTCATCAGGCAAACAGGTTATTTGTTTGCCTGATAAAGGGGATCCTGTGAGACCCCAAAACCTTGTATAGAGTGTTCTACTTGCAACTAGTACGTTAATAAACACGTACTGAACTTGCTTTGGAGTGTTAGTGTCCATCGTTTACTGATATTTTGTCGGAAGCTACCCGCTTACACCTGCTGCACCCAACCTCCATTTTTGGAGCAGCGGCTCTGAGTGGTTACTGCCTCTTATGTCACACTTTAACAGAGACATGGCTGCCTCAATGTACATATATAATGACAAATTAGACAAAGGCACAAGTTTATTTTTAAATAT